CTGCGCTCATCAGCGATATGAGACCCATGCCTCAGAGTACCTCTAAAACAACCAAATGTGTGTTTCAGAATAAGTGCCTGCTCTCCTTTGCTTAGATGACACTGGAAGCTTCTAGTGCCTGAAACCAGATGGTTTCAATAGATTACGTAATTTTGCTTATTTCTGCAGAACAAGCTCTTACAATATTATATGCATTCTGAATACACGGCATGTGAAATTACCGTAAGCCTCAGAAGTACATGTCACATCTTCTGCCCAAAAACGAATCGCCTGAATCTCAGATGGAAGGTACAAACCTTATTTTCTGTGTATATTAAATTTCTCTAGACCAAAAGCTTGCAAATTGCTACAAAGATTAGCTACCTGCCCCAACAGCCTGTCTTCATGAGCAACACTACCTAAAGTACAATGTTTTATTGCTCATCTTGTTCCAATCTGACTTTTATCTTGCAATGAGGTACATTGTTTTATATACAGCTCCTTCTTCTCCCCTTTGGCATGATAAAAATCTATGAATCTTACAATGTTTTTATTATACACCAAACTTTCTTACTACAATACTTCTTGCTACGAAACCAGCTCTGATACTGTATCAAATCAGTGTAGTGGAGCTATGGGGCACAAAGTACACACAGCCCTAGGATACGAGCTGCAATGTGAGATAAAATTATTTCGATCTAAGAGATGTATATATATCCTAATATGCAGGATTTTGTGTTGTAAATCCCTGGCTGAAGAGAAGTTTCTCAAAACGTGTATTTCTCATTCCCATTTAGCAGGTATCCATCACAGACTTCAGATGAAATTACAATGAGAACGTTTATATTTCTGTACGCACCTAACAAAATCTAAATATAGAGACTGCACTTCATTCAGATTCTGTCACAGACCCAAAACATTTAATAATGCAGTCTGATGCCTCGAGGGTAAGGGAGAACGCAAATAAGATTTCGTTTCCTGCTTCACAGATACTTTCATCTCTAGATATTTGTTCCAGAAGGATACTAATCATAGGAAATGACAGAAAAATCATTAATGTTTATAATCATACATACTAAATAAAAAGACCTAAACGTTGCTTGCCAAGCAGTTTTATATATACTTTAGGAAGTCTGAAAATGCAAAATCAGGCATTTTTTCCACTGAACAGTAATGAAAGACACTCGTATAAACTGAAATCAGCCCATAATAGGTTACGAGCAACTGTTGTCTTTGTGAAAAGATTGAATCACGCATCTCCGTATAAACAAGTCCTATTAACCAGCTCTATTTTTTAAGACTGAAACTAGGCATAAACTGTTCCAAAAAAAAAAAAAAAAGAAATCAACTTTCCTACAGGCATCATTTTGCTCTCAGACAAGATAATTGACCTGGTTGGTGAGTTACTACTTCCAAATCCAAGTCTAGGCTAACTCTGAAAATTCAAAGACAACATAGACCAATGGCAAAAGGTGAAATGCCTCAGAAAACTGCTCAAACAAAACACACCACAAAGGAAAAGGAAAAAAAAAAAAAAAAGAAGAGACTTCTATAAAAGGTAGAACATGCATTAAATAAGGTAGGGTGAACAAAAAGCAAGTTAGGAAAGATCCAATTTCAATTATAAACCAAAACCCCTGTGATGAGTCCATTAATGTCTTTTTGCTCAATGCACACCTTGGTCTTCAGAAACAAATGCTGGCCAACCCCTCCCAGCTTAGGCAACAAGCCACGGAGAAAAAAGCCAATAGGGAAGAGTGGCTACACAACCTCATATGTGAAAGTTCGTACAAAATGTTATTACCAGTAGTACCAGCAGAATGCCGACAGGAAGACTGGCTAGCCTGACTTCTTAAAATGAGACAAGAAAGGCGCCAATTTGGACATGCAAACTGCACATCTGAAACAGCTTACAGTGTTTCCACATTCTCACAGTATGTTGTAATTCAGGGTGCTTGTGCCACACAACCTTGTAGATCTGAATAAGCAACAGCTTGCAGTAAATTCAAAACAAACTCATTTCCAAGAATAAGATGTTTTCCCACAGATACAAGCAACAGGCTTCCAGGAGTTCTAGCATCCCACAATGCGTGGCTGAAAAGTTTGCAACTAACTGCCAAAACGATCACGCACTAAAAGAGAAAAAAACCCTTACATTTAAACACCAATAAAAAGGAAAATCATTTACCTTATATTTGTTTGCAAAATCCAAATAGTATCTTCTGTTTGCTTGGAATGACTGTTTCAGAGTTAAATGATTTTATATACATATGCATACTTATATATATGTATTTATAAAGATCTATAGTGACATTAACCATGAGCATGATATTTATGCTAGCATACTATAGTATTTACAGTAATACAATAATATAGTGATATACAACTAAAATGCACATAAAAATGTTTAGTTTTACTAGTCAGTTCTACAAGACCATATAAATAGGACTGACTTGAAAAGTCTATTTATATCATTAATCATTAAGAAAAAAGTTTTACTTAATTACCACTGTGATTCTGGTGTGGAACTCCTAAAGCACAGTAAAACTTGCATAAGTTTTCATAAATGTCGATGCATAAGAGAAAGAAACGACTTTGGTCTGGCTTGCAGGACCCAAGACAAACGCCTTTGATGGGTGAAACGAGCATGTAGAGGAATCAGCAATCAACAATTTAACATTTTCTTTAAGGACAGACCAGCACTGTAAAAGTTGTTGTAGGCAACAGCTTACAAGGAAGCACCTGAGATAATTACTCCTAAACATCCTCAGGTATTTTTCAAACCTCATTATCTGATTTAGATGGTTTAGACCTCTTAAAAGGGGAAAATAATATATGTAAATGCAGCACATCATTAGATGAAAGGTTTAGGTTGGGTTTTTTTTTTTTCAAAAGAAGTTTTTTGTTGCAAGTTTCTGTTTACTTTTTTAAAATTGAGACATTTATTTCAAAATTAAGCTTTAAAATGTTTTTTAAAATTACATTATGGTTCATATGGTAAAAAAGATAAGAATCAAAACCTCACATATCAAAAATCCTAATTAAATCCCCCAATAAAATTTCACTATTAGGTTATCTTTCAAACACTTTCTTGCAATCGCGTTCTAAGTACTGAAGAAGTCACTGCTTCTCTGCTTTCTTTTGCCATGTTCGGCAGATGAGATACATTGTCATACAAAGCATTCTCAACCTGCTTTGAGGGTAAGAAACTCAGATGCTTTAGATAAGCAGCGAGGTCATTCAGGCAGATGACGAGACCCCACGCGGTCAGTTACAGAGTCTCGGCCGAGGGAATGGTAACTGGAAGTTGAGAAAACAGTACTGCTGCAGTGCAGTCCCCAAAATGCTTCCTTGCTCTTACAATACCTATTGTGAAATTATTTTGAAAGCAGTTGCAAAGATGAAACAATTTCTTAGAATATTCATCAGCTGTTAAAGTGGCCCCACCCCACTAACTCACCAACACAGGTATGCCGATAGTGCCCGGGCACCGGTGTCCGCGCCAGAGATTTCAATTCCTAATTTCAATTCCAGCATTACAGCATGTTACTCAAAAGCAAATTACAGCAAGAACAAACAGAAAACAAACCTTCCACCACCGAAAGAGGATACTACCAACATATCATGTTTCGCTTGTGTTCTTTTTTAAAAACAAAAAACCAAAAAACCCAAACAATTAAACACAATGAGGTAATAATTTTGCTGTGTGATGCCTTGAAGAGATTAAGCATCTTTGCTGCCAATCATCCAAGATGAAGCTAATTTTTAAGTTCCACCAAAAAAATGCAAAACTTACTCTAGGATGGAATGAGTTGCAGCCTGTGGATGGTAACGGTACAGCAGGAGGCAATGGTTTACTCGAAAGACTTCACCACCCTTTTGGATATGTTTATAAAAAAACAACAAATCTTCTGGAACACCCTGGAAGAGAAGGAGTTATTTCAGACCAAGAAGTGACCAATATTCATAGTTACATCTGAAGATACATCTTCTTTTTCTGCCAAATCAATAAGGTTTAACATAATTTCATTAATACTAATGCCGTATGTCTGCATTAAGTTATCTAATGGGTCATTAAATAAACATATCAGTAGAAAAAATAAAACTATTAAAAAAGCAAGCAGTGCTATTTAAAAACTAAGTACAGCTGACCACAAGGACCAAGGTGGAAAAATAAACATCATCTCTTTTTGACAGGGAAATAAAGCCTGGTAAGGTTAGGCCCAAAAGAGAGAAACCCAGCTGCTGAACAGTTCATAAAGCCTGAATTGCCACGTAACCAAACAGTTCACCGAGAGGGATCAGTGACTGCAGAAGAGTGGGGTTTTGTTTTACTAGAACTACCATTCTTTCTTTGGTTGCCGTATAAATAGTACACTGGTCTCTCCTTAGGAAAGGTGAATCAGGCCAAATAATTACAGAGATTAATAAAAACCTTAAGAAAAGCAACCTCAGAATGAGGCAACGTCTGCAAACAAAACTTTTTATTCTTGCAACTTATTTCCACAGTACATTCTTCCCAATGGGATTGCAAGCAATACTGCTGACGTGCTGCAAGAAAAAAAATCTCCTAGAGTTGTGGATCTACCAGGCTCTAGCAAATATTAGAGATTCCATGTTCATATGCAACATTTCCCACCTAAAAAATCAGAAAATCTTCATGCCAGAGATACAGTGTCAGAAGGTAGATCTTATGGCAAAAAGTATTCAATTACACGTCACAGCACACGAAAGCATAAACCCACCTTTACAGATACAGCCCTATACAGAAGGTAAAACAGTAGCATCTAATTACATTTTGCGATGATGCAACTTCTTGAAATATGGATAGAACATTTAATTTTTCTGTGTTTAAACACAGATTTTTCTTTCCTCCAACCCAGTCTTTAAAAGGTCACATGATTTCATCAGGCTCAAAATCTCTGATCTATAAAACCAGGTGGGCCAAATAAAATATTGAAGTGTAGCATCGATAAAAAGCTGAAAGATAATATGACAAAGATGAGAAGGAAAAGCGATAGAAGAGAAAGGCATTGAAATTCATTTCTTTCTGTAGGCAATATCACATACATAAATAATAAGGGCATAAACCTCAATCTGAACTTTAGGTATTCTGTGTCAACACAGAAAAATAGTAAGACCACAAATTTTCAAAAAATATATTGAATTTTTTCCCCATTACAACAGCTTCTGAGTTTCTTTCATAATTAAGAAAAGGAGATTCTTTAATTAAAGTACTGGACACAAAATCCCTCTGTGGTTTCTTCTGGCCTTCAGTTGGAAGAGCAATACAGTTCAGTGACAGTTTCTCATACCCACCAGACTGAGCAGCCGAGGGGGGGGGGGGGGAAGAAGTGGGACAAAAAAAAAAGCTTTGAACCTTGGAAAACAAATCCAAAACACTCAGTTGAACATATGTATCTTGGGAGAAAGATACATATGTTCTCCCAAATCAAGCTCCGTACTTTGCAGCTCCAGGCTTCACTACATGATAGATTGACTTAAGACACTGAATTCGGCCACACTCCCAGATTCTGAACAAAATGGATTCTGCTCTGACTGCTTGCTAAGGGCAGCTTATCTGTAGCTATTGTTTGTCTTTGTAGCTATTTGTCTGACTTCTAGCGATGCAGAAGAAAACTTTCGGAGAACTTCATACAATTCCTGCTTTATATTGAACCTACTCTGAAAGCCACCAGAGAAATCCGGGGGAAGCTGGCGTAACAGACGGGAACCAGAGTCATGAAGAATATAAGAAAAACACGAACTCAAATTCTTCCCATTTATCTTGTAGCCCTTTCTATCTTTTCCTTATTCTGAACATTAATGGAAATCCTGAGAGTCAGCAGCAAAGTTCAAACCTTTTTCTCTTTTCCAGTCACACACTAGACTCTGTCAGGCAGGGCACAAATTTTGTAGACCATATCAGCTCACTGCAGTAGTCATATTTTGATTCAGATATAATAATTTAATCACATATATACCTGCAATTCATTTTCTTTTGGACAAGCATGTACATTATTCAAGGTAACTGTTAATACACGTATTAAAAAGGGAGTTACTGCAAAAGTAAAAGGATCTTTCAAAACGCCGTTTGGTTCCGAGTGCTCTTTTGCTTTACTTTAACTGGCAGAAATACTTTGAAATAAAGGACACTCACCCCTAGGAAAGGGCAGGTGCCTTGTACTGCTCAGTGGTGGCCTCTCACATTACAAAGGAGCAGCACTGCCATGCATTTTTCAGGGGAGGAATGATGCTACCTACAGATCCTGCAGGGATGGGACTTCCACAGCTCTTGTATTGCAACAAACTTACACGCTCAAGAGTTCTTCCCAATTGAGACATATTATTGGATCCAGATGGCATTTTAAACACCAGGAATCTTTGTCAAACAACACAACATTCAGAGAAAAAGATGTTTAACCACTAAAGGGACATTTTAATGTATTTTTGGGAATTCAATGTGAGTTAAAAGTATCAATTAACAATCCAGCATTTCAGCAATAGGCTACCACGTGAACATCTTTCAGCATTAATAAATAGAAACAAATTGTACAGTTTACATGCTACTGGACCATATACAGAATTTTCCACGTTACAGGCAAACCCCAACCCTATACGCTCTGCCGCACTAAGGGATAAGCTCACCGGCCTCCTCACTCAAGTTTGTGCTCATCGGCTGCTGAGACAACTCCTAGTGACAAACACAGCCTGCACCCGCTCTGTTCTAGCCAGCATGCACTAGCCACGTGCAAAATAATCATTCACTTTAACATATTACTCCTAAATGGGTGAAGGATTTGCATTTACCCAGTGTTTTGGGCAGGTATCGCTGTGCTGATGGTTGGCTGTACAAATGAAGGGATTGATTTTGTATACACAGGATGTCAAGCAGAACCTAACTTGAATTAGATTCCTTGTTCAGCGACCAAACTAAATATTCCATGATTCTCCTCTTGTCATCTTTTCATTGCTTGCTGTTTCTCACTCCTAGCCGAGCACCGTGCATGAAACAGTACTCCAACTAGTGTCCTCAACAGTGTTTGGCAAGGAGCTGCAAGCCACCTACTGCTACAACAAGCGATTCTGGCTGCAATTTTTGCAGCTCCACCATCAGTAATGGTGAGGAGCATCAGTAGGGATGAAGATACTAGTCAGCAATTTTTGGAGGACTTTTAATGAAAGAGTGGCCCTCTGTGCAATGCTGTCACTAGTAGCACCTGCTGAGAGGTCACGGCGTAGCCCTGGGATGACCACCAGTAACTACTGTGGAACTTCAGGCTGACAGAAGTGGCTTTTTTGGTCCCTTGGACAGAACTTATCATTAGGCTGTACACCCATAAATGCAATGTAAGAGCTGTCTTTTAACTGCCAAACCCAATACAGGAGATTGGGACAGATTGATTCTGTGGCATCCATTTCTTTCCCCTCATTTCAGCCTTCTCTTCCCCTGTCCTCTTCCAGCTGACAGGCACTCTAACAGAGGTGGCAGACCCTTGTGAGCAAAACCAGTGGAGATTTAGCCTACGCAGAGCAGTCTAACTAGTGAAAATGGGAAATTAACACTGAATGTTTTATATTTCAAGAATACATGCATTTATAACAAAAAGTGATGACAAGACAAGGGAAGTAAATCTATCCATACATGAAAAAACCTGCGGGTCTGGGAAAGCTTAGCCCTTCCTCTTGATCAGAGGCATCAAGGAAAACTGTCCTATAACTTGGCACACCTTTTTCAGACCAGACAGCAACATCAGGGTAATTGTTGGACAGAATAAGCCAAATTGCTTTAATTCCTCAGAGGAGCCTAAAATTGGTGAACGGAAAGAATGAATTAAAAAGGAAGTAACTTTTGATTCCGTACTTGCAGGACTTTGGAAAGAGTTTGCTTCATTGCTATTTTGTAAACTAACTCATTTCATACTGCACATTTTAGAACATTCATTAAAAAGGAAAAACATTTCAGTATTAATACTGCAGAAAAGCAAATCAAATGGTGTATATTACAACACCTAAGATTAAACAGGAAAAAAAAATTCTAAACTCAGAGTCATTTAACAACAAAGCAGAGATGCTGAGAAAAAAAAAATATCAAAAAATCAAAGCAGGTTGTTTTTTTTTTAAAAACCAAACACATATGCAACAGCTGCCTAACAGCACTTCCTCAAAGTTTTGAGCTAAATCTTGGGCTTACAGAAGTAACACATACAGAGGAGCTGGCTGCATGGAAGTGAACACAAAAGACACCCTATTTTAAAGGAAGTACTCCTGCCTCAGAAACACATGCTGTTCTGCCAGGCATTAGACTCTCTTACTCGCCAATGAATGCTGTTCAAAGTGTGCTGCTAATGGGGAACAGCTACCGAGCTGCTGGAACCTAAAACTAAGTAAGAAATTGCAGCTTTTCTCCAATTTAAAAGTAAAGATGAAAAAAATTAGCAACTAACATAATTTATCAACAGTTATACATCTTTCAGTCTTTCCTGAAAGACAAGTTTTTCATTAAATGTCAATAGCATTTTTCTTTTATAATTAGCAACTTCTCATTGAAAGTACATATTTCAAGGTCAATTATCATTAACTGAAAATACTCCTTAGTTTAACCTTCTTTAGGATAGTCACCAGAGGTACACAAGCAGACTAACCACAAGCTAAGTCCATATTAAATAGTTGTTAATAGCTTCTCTTCAGGATCATCCAAGATATTCTTAAGTCTCTCTTTCTGCAGATCTGTCACTTCATTTTTGGCTCCCATCCAAATAATGTCTTTACAGCATTTTGCCTTGATTGTAAGACCTGAAGCCTGTAACATTTAATTGACTGTTTGGGAAATAACAGGTTAGAGGAAACTCCAAAAGATTGCTTTCATCCAAATGTATTGGCACAGAGAAATTCAGTTAAACAAAGATGATGAGGAAGTC